TTTTGTATTTTTTAGTAGAGACGGGGTTTCACCGTGTTAGCCAGGATGGTCTCGATCTCCTGACCTCGTGATCCACCCGTCTCAGCCTCCCAAAGTGCTGGGATTACAGGCTTGAGCCACCGCGCCCGGCCTAAATAGGTATTTCTTAATACCTATTTACCGATGACTCCCAACTTATGTCTGGCTCTAATTTCCAGAGTTGTACGTCTATATATCTATTCAACCTCTCCTCTCAAATGTGTAATAGACATCCATTCATTCATTCAGCAGTATTTATTAAGCACCCACTCTCTTCCGGGCATTGTTCTAGGCGCTTGGAATAAATCCGTGAATCACACAATGATCCCTGCCAATTAATTAACAGTTTGATTCTTACAACAACTTTATGAAGCAAATAAATTATTATTTCTATTATAGTTCACGCATGAGGAAAATGACACACAGAGAGGTTAAATGACTTACTCAGGGTCACACAGCTAGTAGGTGGTGAATCTGGGATTCAAACTCAAGTCATTTCTTCCAGAGTCCTTGCCTTTAATCACTTTCTCAAACTCAACATGTCCAAAACAGAAGCATGGATTCCTCTGTCACATTTAGTTCTCAGGCTTTCTCCATTTTAATAAATGACTATACCATTCAAGCATATACCTGCTTGAGTCAAAAACCTAGGAATCGTTCACGACTCCCTTTTCCCTCACTCTCCATATTCAGTAGATTAGCAAGTTCTGTCAATTGGATCATCAACAAATATATCTCTAATTCCACCACTTCTGACCATCTCTGGTGCTCCAACCTAGACCAAGTATTGTCATCTTCTGCCTGCACCATTACACCTTCTAAAGATTCTCCCTATTTCTGTTCTTTCCCTTTTCACACAACTGGCAGCGAAGACTTCAAAAAATATCAATAACATCCTGTCACTCTCATGATCAAAATACAGTCAAATTATACTATAAACACTTACAGAGAAAAACAGAAATTGCCCCACCCTTCCCCACCTTCATGGTACCTGTTCCTCGGTGGCAACTGCTCTGTGTTGTTTTGGCTCTTTCTTCTGTCATTTACATCCATATCTCTAAAGTACGTACTAATACAACTAGTTTTAAAATTTCAGTTGTGGACACCATCGGTCAATTTCAATGACTTCCTAGTAGAGCAGAGGAATATTTAGCTCTTCTATAACTACCTGCACCCCAAACACACACTTCCTCTTTCTTCCACCAATGTAGGTATATCTCAACTTTTATTATTTTGGTTACATTATTTTGACTATGCAAATATTATTCATACTTCCTTAGTGTACTAGGACTTTACTTCCTATTTTTGTGAAACTATTTGTTTTACTTCCTTTTTATAAAACTTTTCCTAGACTTAATAATTGCTTCATTTTTTCTTTGCTTGTATTTCTTCCCCAGGTACTTAACACTAATTCTTTTTCAAACTCTCTGGTAGAGCTGTAAATCTCTTCTCAATGTAACCAGTATACAGAATAATCTATAAATTCATTTTTTCCTCTGGAAAACATCCTCTTACATCCCTTCTTTCTCTATGATCTGCCACACTACTGTCGTTTTGTGAGTCTGCTTCATGATCTTCCCAGGAATTCTGTTGCTTTTTAACCTGTTTTTAGCTCTTCTTATCTGTATCTCATGTCTTACTCTCATTTGGCTTAAATTCAATTCGAAGGAATACATTTTCCAGTAGCTTTCTGAGGAAGTAGGCATGAATGGTGAAATAAAAATATGCTTCTTGGCCAGGTTTGGTGGCTCGTGCCTGAAATCCCAGCACTTTGGGAGGGCAAAAATTAGCCGGTGTGGTGGCAGGTGCCTGTAATTCCAGCTACTTGGGAGGCTAAAGCAGGAGAATCTCTTGAACCCAGGAGGCAGAGGTTGCAGTGACCTGAGATTGCACCACTGCACTCCAGTCTGGGCAACAGAGTGAGACTCTGCCCCAAAAAATAAACAAACAAAAAACAAAAACCGCTTCTTGTAACTCCTCATAATTGATCATTACTGTAATTTGTTACAAAATTCTAGATTTGATATCATTTTGATTTGAATCATTTTGATTGAGTGTTCTGATGTCCTTCCAATTCTTGATCCTTTATAGCCCTTCTGCTTTTTTCTATGAATTTTTAGAAGCGTCTGTTTATTCCTGAAATTCTCTTATTTCACATTTTCATCCCCCTCAAAGGTTTCTTCATGTCACTGGGTAATTCATTTTTTTCTTCTCCCCCAAACACCCTCCTTATAGATTTGGGACAAATTTGCTCTCTGTCCCTATAAATTATTTTCTATAATTTCATAAAAATGGAATAATATATAAAATCACTTCCGTACTTGGCTTCCTCAGCATAATTATTTTGAGATTTATCAGGTTTTTAAAACGTATCAGTAGTTTCTTTTCATTGATGAGTAGAAGTCAGTTACATGGATTTACCACATTTTGTTTATCTCTTCACCTAGTCATGGACATTTGAGCTGTTTCCAGTTTTTGCTATTCATAATAAAACTGTCATAAGCATTAGTGTACAATTCTTTCATTAGACATATATTTCTTTTTTCATCAGTTAATATTTAGAATTAGAACTGTTTAATCATATAGTAGGGGCTTCTTTAAATTTTTTAAAAACTGTCAAAAGTTTTCCAAACTTGTACTATTTTACGATTTCACTGTCACTGTACGAGATTTCCAATTGTTGTATATCCTTGGCATTCTCGGTCTTCTCAATTGTAGTAAATTCTAGTGGATATATAGTTCCATCTCACTGTGATTTTGCAGGCCATATGAACTCTGTGACAACTGCTCTACTCTGCCATTGTAGTGCAAAAGCAGCCATAGATGATACATAAATAAATTAGCATGGCTATGTTCCAATAAAACTTTATTAGCCAGGTGTGGTGGCACACAGCTGCAGTCCCAACAACTTGGAAGGCTGAGTTGGGAGGATCACTTGAGCCCAGGAACTTGAGGTTACAGTGAGCTTTGATTGCTCCACTGCACTCCATCCAGCATGGGTGACAGACTGGAACCCTGTCTCTACAAAAAAAAAAAAAAAAAGAAAGAAAGAAAGAAAAGAAAAAAAAATCTCTTGTTGCAATTGACTGAAGGCCAGCTCAAATGAGCTTTAGAAGAAAAGGAGGTGACTGGCATATGGAACTGGAAGAACACCAGCACAGCTGGATTTAGTAGTCCAGGTGAAGTGCCAAGCACCAAGGCCCTCACTCACACTCTCTTCAACTCTCTCTTCTGCTAGTTTCTCCTCTTTTCTGTCAATCTCATGTATTTCTGCTGGAAAAAACAAAAGAGACTGACTGGAAATGGCTAGAAAGATGGCTCTGGCTAACCTACACTGATATCCTTACAGTTTATGAAAATAAGGGAAGAAAAACCTCTTTGTTAATGTCCATAGAGGCAATTTCACGCAAGGTTGGCACAGCTAGTTTTTTAGCCCCATGAACAATCACTGTGGCTGAAGAATTGGATATAATGAGAATCATTATGATTGACGGCTCTATTAGGACCGTATGGTATAGCCAAAGAGTGCCCTAAAACAGTGGGACTTAATCCTGAAAGCCAATGGTACCCTTTTAAACAACAAATATTTTGTAATGCTCCCTTTTCTATACTGTGTCTGTAAGAGTTTGACCAGAAGAAAAGCAGAACCACTGGGATACATATATTCTCTCTTTCTCTCACTGTCTCTCAGTCTCTCTCTCTCTCTCTCTCTCTTTCTCTCTCTCTCTCTCACACACACACATACACATAAACAAACACACACAGCACATGTGGAAAATTAGGACTTTATTGACCTTATGAACTGTGGTATCTGGTGAGAGTCTATATGAGGCTGTTGTGTCTCCAGTGCTAAAACCTCAAGTCCACAGGGCAAGTAGTTGAGAAGCG